CGTGAGCCACAGTTTGCCAACCACTGATCTAGGGTGTCAGGGTCAACAGCATCTCTGAGTGGTATATCCGGTCTGTTCTGGAGAGGGGAGGATAAGGGTGTCCCACCCACCACCCCGGGGCCCCGGGGAAGTCTCTGGAGCCCTGAGAGGCCATGGCTGGTTCTGAGCACAGAATGAGGGCCTAGCGCAAGCATGTCAAATGTGCAGCCGGCAGGCCGCATGCATCGTTTATTTAAACCTGCCAGCCCGGCCAGAAGTTTGACATCCTTGGCCTAGAGCAGTGATGGCGAACCTATGACACGCGTGTCAGAGGTGACACGCGAACTCATTTTTTTGGTTGATTTTTCTTTGTTAAATGGCATTTAAATATATAAAATAAATATCAAAAATATAAGTCTTTGTTTTACTATGGTTTCAAAGATAAAAAAATTTCTATATGTGACACGGCACCAGAGTTAAGTTAGGGTTTTTCAAAATGCTGATACGCCGGGCTCAAAAGGTTCGCCATCACTGGCCTAGAGGGTGAGCACGTAGGTGTGGGAGAAGCCAGGGCACTGAGCGTTCCTGGTGAAGCCACAGCCCCGAGGCTGGCAGGGAGGGACCCACCTCTGTGCTTGGCCGTGTCCGTGCCCCGGGACGGGTTATTCTTCCTGAGCCCCTCCATCACGTCCTGGATCCTCCAGATCTCCTTCTGGATTTGCCGGTTGAGCACCTCGTTCTGCAACAGCCACAGAGCAGGTCAACGGAAGTGACTGCTGAGGAGTGTCCCAGCCCTTTCCCCACCTCCCTTAGACCAGCAGCAGGCAGGAGCCCTGTGCACGAGGGAGTGTAAACACACACACACACACACACTCACACACACTCTCACACACTCTCACACACCCTCCAGCACATTCGCCGCTCTCGCGGGCAGCCTCTGTGTCCTCAGCCTCTATGAAACGCAGCTCTGAATGCCAAGGAGAGGACTCTGTCATCAGAGGAAAGAGCCCCCTTAGGTCAACCTGAGGATTCGGAATCAAGAGAGTGGGGACCCGCCCCCAGAGCCCCTGGGGGAGACAGGTCCTGGTGTGGAGGCCCCGCAGGCGGACATTCTAGGGCAGCCCACTCTCCAGGCTGAGCTCCAGTTTCCTGGTTTTCTTCAGCTCCAGGTGGCTCTTCTGTAATGCCCACCCCCAGCTTATGCCTAAATGCTCATGGGTTATACTCGATGACAGCACCCACTCTTTGAAAAGTGATGGCCACCTCTGATTTAGCACCCCACCCCGGGCACCGCGCTCAGTGCTGTGCAGACACTAACCCGCTCTGGCCGCACGGCTCTATGAGGCGAGGGTGGCCGCTGTCCCCGCTTACAAGAAGAAGGGACTCAGCTCAGCCACCTGTAAGTTGTGCGACCAGCATCTGAATCTGGGTCTGTTTGCTCCAAGAGCTGGTGCTCTTGCTCACACTCCCCTACCTCCTAAAGTCGCCCACCGACCACCTGGGTCCTCGGACCAGGCCTTCACCTCACTCCACCTAACCGGCTGCAAGGCTAGGGTGGTAAGTTCTGTTACCAGAAGGAAACAGGAGGAAAACCGGGGAAACCAGGGCTTAACTGCACCAGAGAAACAGGGCTTGCAATGCCAGCGAGAGAGGAGGCACGGAGGTGTGTGCTGAGCAGAGAAAAGACAGAGGGAGGCAGAGAACAAGATGCCCATGGTCAGCGGGTCCAGCGCTGCCTCCAGACAGGGCTTCTAACAAGTTCCTGAAACGAGGTTTCCTCCTACCCAAATGCCTGAGTGTAGCCCGCACTGCCTACCCTTCTGACGGCCCGAGGGAGGTTTATATCAATCGTGTATTTATATTTATGTCTGTTCAATCCTTCATCATACAACACCTGACACCTAACACGCGCCTCTGCTCCTCCTGGACGCATTCCCTGTCATTTGATGGAACTGAGGAACCCCACGCTATCCTCACCCTGGAATCTAGAGTCCCTTTGAAGTGGCCTGAACCTGGTCTTTTGTCTCAGAAACCAACTCCTCGTCTTAAGTCTGAAATCTCTAAAGCAAGAGAGGAAGCCACTCTGGTCTCTTTTGGCCACAAGGACAAGGGAAGACGTACAGCACATGCGGACCGCTCCCCCCTCCCCTGCCCAGGGCCCTGGTCACCTGGATGTCCAAGTTGAGCTGTTCCCAGAGGTCGTCGTGCAGGGCAGAGACCTCCGACTCGAGGCTCTCGTACTCCGTGGTGCTGTTGGTCAGGGCCTGCACGGGGAGCGGTTACTGAGAAAGCAGCTCGCCTAGCATCCCTCATCCTGCGACTGGGCCTGGGGCCAGGGGCCCGAGGCCGGCAGATCTGGGGAGGGCGGGGAGGGTGTGCACAGGCCTGCGACATGCGAATGACAGCCAAGCACCAGCCTTACAAGAGGTGCCACAGCCCGCCCTGCTGCAAACCGAAGTAAGAGAAAATAGCATCCTCTCCAGACATGTGGACAGGCCGGAGCGGGGAGCATCGCGCTGTCATCCTCCTGCTCTCCCAGATTGGGCCACGGAAAGCGGAGGATAAAGGGAGACGGAGGGAAGGGCTGTGCCTCTGGAGGGTTGCTCTCCTCTCTGGGCCATGTTCTCTGGGGGCTTTTGCTGCTGCCCTGAGAGCTATTACCCAGGCCATCAGCTGGGAGGTCTGCCCTGGGCCCACCAGGATGACCAGGCAGCAGCATTGCTGCCAGGGTCTGGGTTCTCCAGGGGAGAAGACAGAGCAGCCGGGGAAATAAGTGGCCTTGACTGCACACCGTCCTGGGGCAGGTATAGTTAGTGGAAAGTTCGCCAGTTCCATGGAGACTGTGGGGCGAGCAGCCTGGCTTAGCGGCTGTCTCTTTGCACGGCAGAGCTCTGGGTTTTGGTTGTGTCCTTCCCCAGGAGCACCCTGCTCTGGCCCTCTGGGGAGAACTGGGATTCGGGGAGCCCCGCCGGGGAGGGGAGGGGAGGGGAGTCTCTCCTGGCAGGCCCAGACCTGCTCTGGTTTCCATGGTGACCTACCGTGGTTGCCTGAGACAGCTCCACCCGGATGTTGATGAGCTGGTTCTGCAGGGACTCTTTCTTGTGCAGCAGCTTCTCTGGGTAGGCGGGCTGGCTCCCGAACATCTCCAGCTCCTGGTGGGTCCCCATCAAGGCACTTTCCAGGCTCTCCTGAGGAAAGGCGGGGTGGGGGTGGGGTGGGGAGGGGGCTGTGAGTGGCCCTGAGCTCCCCTCTTTTGGTCTGTTAGCTACCCAGACCGGAGCCCTAGAGGCCCAACCAGGCCGATTAGTGGAGGTTGTCCTCACCCTGCCTGAGGCTGCCCAGGAGAGTAAGGGCAGGACAGCAGTTCAAGGAGGGCGAAGCTCTCGGCTTAGTCAAGATGGAGATGGCAGCCCACACCTTCTCCCCCAGCTCTCCCCCACCACCTGCCCCCACTCAAGGCCACCCCTTGGTTCTCACCTTCTCAGCTCGGAGCTGCTGCACCAGCCGGTCCTGCTCCCTCACCACCTTGTTCTGCTCACACAATTTGCCCAGCAACTTCTGGGGTCCCGAGGGAGTGGGGGGCAGGAAGGGAGAGAGAAGGGGGTGAAGGACACGATTTGATGGGGACCTGAGACTTGGGTTGGCGGGGTCCGGCCTCTGGGTACCGCCTCCTTTCCCCTGCAGAGAAGCCTAGCCCTTCACCTTGACCTGGGAAACTCCTGGGAACAGGAAGGTGGTCTTCACCTTGGTAGACTCCCCAGGAACCCACTGGGAGGGGAGGTGTGTTTGTTCTCTGAGGAAGTGAGTCAGCTTGAGAGAAGAGAGGGCTGAACACCAAACATGAGGCTCCTACATTCCCATCCTCCCAGGTCTTCCAGCCCATAAGGGCTGGGGCGAGAACGTGGCCCGGCCCTCCAGGCCTCCTAGGTGATATGGACTCAAGGGGTAGGTAGGGTGTTTGGACAACTCTCTCTGAAACCCAGTAAACAATGTAAACTGGCTCCATGGTCCACACTACCTATTCTCCCCTCCCCTCGCCAGGGTCTAGGATGGCTGACGCTGGGGTCCCTCGGAGGTCTGGTCCTCGCCTGGTCCTCTCCCAGGCCTGCTGGGCAGACCTGCTCCCCAGGGAAGGCCAGTGGAGGTGGGGAGAAAGCAGGTGAGGCCACACTTCTCTTCCGGAAAGACCTGTGCTTCCCTACGTGCACAGCTCTACTCATGCCATTCCTCACATACCCCTGCAGCTCCTTCCCCCAGAACCAGATCATGCCTCTGGGCCTTTTAGCTGAAGGCCAACTCACATGCCACCTGTTTTGACCCTGACCTACCATCCCCACATGGTCTCACTCCTGCAGAACCTGCTATCAGGCTGTTCCTATATGAATCATCTGCTGCCACCTACTGGCACCTGGTGTCTGACACTACCCTGAAGCTCCCGGAGGGCTGGGCACAGCCATGTTCTTCTTTCCAGTTACCTAGGGACTACGTCTGACCTCCTAGCAAAGTCTGAGTTCCTGCAGGAAGCAGATCCCACGGCTGGAGACACGGGGCCTGGGGCTCCGGGGGAAACACACAGCCAGAGTGGGAGGCAGGGGGAGGGGGGAGAATGGGAAAAGAAGGGGGGAGGGAGGAGGCACAGGAAGAATGTTGTCTTTGCAGTGAGAGAGAACATGAATCGCATGTGTGAAGAGCCACGAGGAGAGAGATGGATGGAGGAGCTGGAGGACGAGAAGAGCAGCAGGAGGGTGGAGTGGACAGAAGGAGCAGGAGCGCTGCTCTTACGTCTGTGTCCTGCTCGTTTAACTTGTAGGTGTGGGCGCTGTCCCGGAACACTTCTGGGTACGGAGGGACCTGCGGGAACAGGAGGCCGGTTACTGCAGCGGGGCACAGAGGGCGTGCGGAGGTGGGAAAGCGACAACCCTTGCTCCATTTTTGCCAGAGACCATCAGACACCACCTCTGGGAGCTTCCACCTGGGCCCCTGAGCTGAGCTAACTCTCTGGGCCCTGGCTGGGAAGCCTGGGGCGGCCTGGTCTAGGCTCCATCCCAATGGTCCTAGGCTCATTCTAGGAGCAGAGGCGCTGCTCAGCTCTTGCTTTCTCCTCTTCCCAAAGCTACTGCTGAGAGGGACTCCAAGGGTGTGTAGCTCCCAAAGGGCTTGTGGGTAACAACCAGGAGAACAACAGTTACCCTTCAGCTGTGTTTGAGGATCCTACACGGGAGAACGGAATGAGCATTGGAAATACTTGAGACTGTTGACCTAGCGGATTGAACACCCGTCACAGGGCTGGTGCCTGAACCAGGACTGACACACACACAGAAGTGTCTCTGGGTCCAGGACATGCTCCCTGCCCTTCATGACGCATCCAGTAACCACACCGGTAGCCTGGGATGGTTCCCTGTCACACACCCATGCCCTCATCCCCAGTAATGTCTGCGGAGAAGATACCAAATATAAAATAGAAGCCCTGGACATTAACAAAGCAGATCTGTGGTCCCTGGCAGGCATGAGATGTCGGTGCTATTTTGATGGTTTGGGAAATGGGCCTTGGGTTTGTCCATGAACATGAAGAATGAAGGAAACACAGTGGCACTGACGGAGGGAGACCGGGCTGAGCCTGGGAGATGAGGCCTGGCAGGTGAGTGGGCTGGGCGGAGCAAGCCCCATCCCAGGTGGGCGGGCTGGACCGTGCACAAGCAGCTGACATGGCGCTGACAGGGCTCATGCTGCCAGCAGAGGTCTTACTTGCATGAAGAGCTGGGCCCTGGGGGAGGAGCTCTCCACCATGCGGTTCACCATACTGATCAGAGTCTCACTCTCACTCATCTGCAGCAGAGGAAGGAACGGACGATTCAGACTCAGACTCACAGAGAGATGCCTCCCCCACACCCTCCTGTGCTTGCCTGCCGGGACACAGAACAGGGCGGGTCCTCTTGGGGGCTCCAGCACCCTCTCGTTGGCCTCTATTTGGCCTCACCCCATCACTCTTCCTCTGTGAACTCCATCTCAGGACCAGCCCTGAAGCTGCCCTGAGAAAGGCCACAGAAGGGAGCTGGGAGGTCCCTGCGCCCTTGCTTGCAGCTCTGAGATGTCCCAGCCCAATGACGCTTCCCCAGGGTGCTTGAGGACGATGGGTCTCGCCCACATGGGTCAAGTCGGTCATCTCCTTGCCCCAGCTCTCATGTCGCACACTGCTTTGGTCAAGGACCACACAGGCAGCGGCAAAGGCCAGTCTCCCACAATTTGAACTGAATGAAACAACTGGAGAAGAACAGTTGCCCCTGGATGGGCCTCCCAAACACCTAGGCACAGGTCTCTCGCCCCAACCCCTGCCCACCTCTTAGCTCTAGAGTAGAAAGGATTGCTAAACATGGTTTCCAGAGCTGGGCTGGTAGCATCCATGCCGATCTTGGATGACGCTAGGGAGCAAATAAGGAGGCCAAAACAAGCAAGCCATGTTAAAGGGACACCGGATATCAGAACACTGCTCTCCCAACACGTTATCTTACGTTTCAAGCATCACTGGGAACATGGGGGGTGGGGGGAAGACTATTTGGCAAATGAAAAAGAAAGAAAGGTGAGGGAGG